GTGTAGGCACCCAACCAATCAATAACTTCATCGAAAGATTATATGGGATTAGACTAATATGAGATAATATTATTCAGAAAAATTCTTAACAATTTATATTTGAAGCTGGTCAAGTAACCTATTGGAATACGCATATTATAGAACATCAAGCATTATCATTTAAACAACCTGCAGATGTAAAATGATGTTTAAATCAGAGATGACTGTGTGTTTTACTTTATTTAGTAAAACTTGTAGTTGGTGAAAATGACTTATATTTCTATATTAAAAAAGAAAATAATAAGTTTTGCTCTCTATATACTATAAAATATATTAACCTTGATAATAAATCATATCAATTACTTCAGCCACTATTAAATAAGCTTATTTCTAAGCATCTAGTTATACAATTAAATGATCACTATATCGTTAATATTTCTACAGGAGAGTACACATGTCTTGACTTTGTATGGAACAGGTCTTTCCATGATATGTACAAGCATATACATGCAGCACACCTATTTAATGATATAAAAAATAGTAAGACTACTCTAAATGCAGTAAAAAATGACCTTGTAAAATATTTCTGCAAAAAGGAACGTGCAGCACCAGCCGAACAAAAAAACTTGATAATTTATAACGAATCTACTGAAATTGTATTTGAAGAAATCCTTCAGATTTTCTCATTGCAAGGCAATGATATATTTTTTCCATACGAATATAAAACTACAAAAAAGGACCTATTTCGTCCTATTGAACTACTTGAGCGAAGAACATCAAATGTAGAGACTTCTAAAGTATTTAGTGCTAAGCCAAGAAAGCCTAGTCATTTTTTAAATGAATTAACAACTAATAACGATAAGGAGGCAAGTATTGTAAATCTATTTTTATACAAGATGTATTCGATTAACAATATATAGTTGTTAATTACTTATTTTATAAATTTTAAGAATGATGTTGATAATGAAAACTTAATGTTAGTTGATGATGAAACAGAGTTATTAATAGCAGCAAACCTGGAGCAAGTTGAAGTTAAAAGAATTGATGAAATCGATGATGTTGATATCGAAGAAACCAACAAAGTCTCTCTAATTAATGCTACAAATGCAGAAGTATTAGTTTTAAGTCCATTGCCACCATCGGTTCAGAAATAAAGAACTGCAGCAATTAGAAGCCGTAGATGTAATTCTAACAAATAAGTAAGTCTAAATAAATTATATAATAATTCTGAATTAGCAAAATATTAACTATATTTTAAATAGTTTAAAGCAGAGTAATAAAATTGTCAACTCATCTTCATCTAAAGTTACTATACGATGTGAACTTGAAAACCTTTTTTCAGAAAAACAAGCTAATTGGAAAAGACAGGATTTTGTAAAAGCCTGTATTGAGAAAAATATCTATTTAGATAATAATGTAAAATTGAATACAAAAAGATTGTTTACATAGTTCGATAGAAGAAAAAATAAGATAAAGCAAATAGCTAGCTTGTAAAGCTAATTACATTAAAATATATAAATAAATTATAGCGATAGTTTTAATTTTCATTTTAAAGTATCAATTAAAAGGCTTAAATAACAACAATATTGTATCACAATACAGTTTTTTTATTTATTTATTTATTTATTTATTTATTTATTTATTTATTTATTTATTATTATTGCAGTTCTGGTCAATAACGATATACAAATTTTTTGATAGATCAATAATGATAGTCCAAATAGATCAATATAAATGTTTTTGCATGAATTTTATTAGAAAAAAAAATAATAATAATAATTTCTACATTTCTTCAAAATTTTCTATCTTTACTACCCTTTTCACGATTATCATCATTATCTAAAATTAATACTAGCCAATCTACCCAATCCTCATCATCAAAATCTAATATCTCATTATTATCTTCTTCAATAATTTTCTTACTACTTTCTTTAACTTTGTCATTATTATCCAAAATCAACATCGGCAAATCCACAAATCTTCATCATCAAAATTCAAATCCAATATTTCATCACTATTTTTCTTAATAACTTTTCCTTTTCCCTTATTTTCAGTCTAAGAATATTAAAATTATATTATTATTATTCTTGTTATTAATAATATTATTATATTATAATATTACCTTTCTTCCTTTTTTTTCACTTGAATCTCGTATAGTTCTAAAACTATCAGCTTTAACTTCTATTCTATCTTCTATACTCTTTTCATTATTATTATCATCACTATCCCCAATCTTCATATTCTTATATTTTCCAAACACTTCTGTCTCTATCAATCTTTATATTTTTCTATCACTTTCATCTTCCTTTTTAACTTCTTATTCTCCTCTTTTAAATTTTTAATCCACCTATTCTTTCTAATAATCAATTATAATAATTAATATTATTATTACTATTATTCTTTATATTATATTTCTTACCAATTTTTATCTATTTTCTTTCTATAATTATAAATATTTTATTATTAATATTACTATTATTACTATTATTCTTATCCTTATTATTAATTTAATCTTACCCTCTAGATGTCCTTCAAATATGGTAGTTTTAATAATCAAAAATTGAACAATTTAAAATTTTTGTATATTACCGATTATAGAAGAGTGATAATGATTTGTGACTATAGCTAGCAGCTGTAAATTCAATACCTGCTGATAGACTGTAAACTCTGTCAACAGATGATGATCATAGCATCTGCACTACAATAGTTCTTTTATAATTTTATTCATTACAACTTTATTATTTATTTATTATAATTTATTTACTTTTTGTTATATTTTTATTCGTTAAACTTTTATTTATTTATACTTATTCATTATATTTTATTATACCTTTTATTCATTATAATTTTATTTCGTTATAATTTTATTTGTTACAAATTGCTTATTTTTAACTTTATTCGTTACAATTTTATTATTTGTTAAAATTTTATTATTCATAATAATTTATTTTTTTATTTTATTACGATTTTAGAATTAGTTATATATTTATTAATTTTACAAATTTTATTGATTTAATACTTTATTACAATTATTATTAGAATTAGATTTTATAATTTTATTAACTATTTACAAAATATTACAAAAATAATTTCTACTCTCATATTCCCTTATCCTATCCTTAATTCCTCGACTTCAATTTTCAAATTTGCCACCCGAGTTTTTAATCTATCTCTTTTGGTGATGACCATCCAAAGTTGAGTTTCTTGGAAAAACCTTTCGCTTACCAGTTCTAAAACCAAAGGATTTCTTGCAGATAATTCTGTTTTTAAGTTTACAACTTGATTATTTAAAGAAGACAAATGACTATGAACCAAGCTTTCTTTCCTGTGTCGAGGCATCTAAAGCACAAACTTAATTAGAAACTACTGATTTCTAAGCATATAAACTTGAAAAATGAAAAGAAAAAAATTGGCAAGACCCTTATTCCAAGAATACAACAAGCAAGGTCTATTACTTGCAATACTAGTGGAGATAAGTCCCTAACCTACTCGTACAAGAGACCACGAGTATCGAAAAGAAAAGAGAAAATATATAAAGGGAAAATATCTACTTGGACCAAATACATAGTGCACCAAAGTAGAAGACCGGCCAAGCCCCAAGTGCCTAATAAGATGGAACTCAGTGCATGGCCAAAACAAGTATACACACCTTGGAATGACGGCAAAATAAATGGCAAGAAAAGCTATCAGAAAGATAAAAGGTTTTTTAACAAAACTATAAGAAGAAAAGAAACAGAGTATTAGAAAAATTATAAGAACAAGAAGAGGAAAAGACAAAGGAAGATAAAAACCAAAGTGGTTAGTAAAAAGATTTTTGGGATTTAATGATACCAAAAACTAAGTGATTAAATAACAGAAAAACTTAATTAGCCGTAAAAAGAAGAACAATAGATTCATGCAGAAAAATAATTACAAGCAACAATATGATTGCCAGAATAGGAAAAAGACAGACAATTAAAACAAATAGAAGCTAATTTTAGACAAAATAGCATATGAAGTTCAGAGACCTCATATTTTAAAGGGAGGAAGCAGACAAAGAATTTGTTATTGATAGAATATTGTAGAAATTTTTATTTTTAAAAACCTCGTAAACTAGTAAAGAAATGGTTTTAAAAAAACTAAACCAAAAAAATACAAGCATAAGGTCAAACAAACAAAAACTTGTTTGATATTTTTAGAAGACAAAGATCTACCATGTGAGAAAAACAGAAAACAAAAGACAAGCAAGACTTGTAAACTGCAGGAGTTGTATAAACAATTGCAGTAAATTTGAAACGATTCTAGGTAACTTTTTGAGTACAAACTTTATTCTTAATTTGGATCAATCATATGCAGCTACTACAAACAATAATGATTTTCTTAACCAAATTAAGACAAGTTAATTGGTATAACCTCTAGCCAGATTTTTCTGTAACTGTACTTGCAACTACAAGCTTAAAAAAGATCCACTAATTGTTTAATACTATTGAATAGTATAAACATTAAAAGATTTTTACAGAGTAAAAATTTAAGGGAAGGAAAATATTATAAAGTAGATTTTTAGAGTAGATTTTATTAATATTATCTTAGTTATTTTTAGCTATTATTATCTTAAATATTTGTATT